GCCATCAAGCATTGGCGCCATCGATTCGCGGTCAGCTTGGGAGATTTGCTGGAGATCGTTGACCTTCGGAAAAGACAAGAAACTTCAAGAGGATGACATCTGAAAATCTTCAAAATCCCCAACTTGCAACAATGCAAGGAGCCTGCTTCATAAGCTTTGGTCGCAATCTTAATCGCCGATATGTGCCACGAGCCTCCGAGTTGCCATGAGCACTGGGAGGTTTTCACAGGTCTCCGCCGCAACAAAAAAGGAAGTGGCTGCTGGCATCTGATCTGATCTCGCCTAAAGAGAGCGCAAATTGAAAGATATGCAAGAAAAGAAGCAACACAGAAAAACGACAAGCCGAGCCGAACCCAGCAAACTAATTGGAATGGACTGGACTCACACTAAGCTCAAATAACGACTCAGCTTCACCTCTTAGGGGCTGGGTGTGTTTCATACTTGCGCCTTGGCGTGCCATTCAAGCAGGCGAACACAGACTGGTTTGATGGATTTTGCTGAAAGCACGACTCAAATGTCAGCAATATGTGTAAATCACACTGCCTGGGGTAGGATCCTTCTAGAGCTGGCATTTTCCCAAATGTATGGCAAAAGGCTTCCTGTCGATTTTGCCCCGGGCTGGCGTTGTTGCCGTTTGCTGTTTCTGTGTGTGTGTGTGTGCGCGCGCTCTCATAGTCAGCCTCAGTCATCCCTGCCAAAGTGGCAAAAATGACGCACACTTTCCCTGGACTTGCCGGCCCAACCATGGGGTGAGCATGGCGGTCGACCATTCGGTATTTTTGATGGGCATCCAGGCGCACGTGGCAAGGAGCCTCAAAACAAGCATCATGTGAACCACAAAATTAGGAATCTAGGGGGTCACGGACGAGAACATCATTGTGGGGCCTTAGACCCCTTGCAAAAGTTCACGCCTGTGGGTTGGAAATTGATCTTTCCCTTGGACAGAGGCAGTTTCGGAAGGTTGGCTTGCTGGGTGCTAAACAGGGTGGTCTGAAAGAAACAAACAATTGTTTTATTGGTAAACTAACTTTCTTTGCTCAGCGCCCAACAGTCCAAGATTGTTGCAACTACGCTCAAGCCACTACATAGAGGCGAAGCAAAGTATTAAACCGTTTCGTACGGGCTGCAAGGGCGCCGTGTGTCCCCATTTAACCTCTAGGGACAACTGCGGTTGGGGGGAGTGGAATTACTTTCTAGAAACACGGGTGCATGCCAAAATCGAGGACCCCCCTGCTATTTCTTTTTGGTTTCCCTGTAAACCAATCAACTAATAAGCAACGTAAGCAAGGCTGGGTGCTGCTAAATCGGGGCGTCCCTCGTCCGCACGCGGGCTCCCGACTCTGCCTGGACGCTCGTGGTGAAGGCGAAGGTGGCGAGGTCGAAGCCTCGTAGACAGGCTGCTGATAATGTTGTCAGCTCCCTTCCGTTTGCTTCAGCCCTCCGGCAAAAAACATTTTTCCAGTAGTGATCGATTCCTTCAAAACCAACAAAGGCCTTGAGCAAATGGAAGATACTCACAGATCGAAGTAGGCCTCGACGCCTTTGAGGAAATTGGTGAGTGCGCGGGCGGCTGCGGGCAGCGTGCGGGCAGGCGCGTCCCTGGCTTCAGCCCAGCCTGCTCCTTAACCGGATCACAAAGCAAAGCTGCCTGCCAACTGCCCTTTCGCGCAAACACATCAAACCATTAACAGATATGGCTGGAACAGAATGCCTGGACTTGAAAATGCTCAGCTTCCATGCGCCTTTTCACCCGTGAGCTCTGCTCAGTCTGTCTGTGGGCCCTTTACGCAGATGTAGTTATGGCTGACAGGAACTGGTCGGTCAGTGCGCATGTAAGTACGTCATTTGCTGCTTTCATAAACAAAAAGCAGAACAACACACACTTACTCCAAAGTGCCACGTTCGAGCAGAAGCTGGCGGTGCGTACTTTGCGCTCTCATTTTACACTGAAACGTTGTGGCTTGCTAACGAGAGCTGCGCGGGGGCACAAGCCGAGCTGCACGTGAGCAAACGTGGACGCACGCAGCGCAAGCTGGCCGCGATTGGCCTCCTCATTTCATACCAAGAAGATGTAACTCTCGAGCCGCGACTGGAGGAGAGCCTTGCCCCCTACTACTACTACTACTACTGCTGCTGCTGCTGCTGCTGCTGCTGCTGCTGCTGCAACCACTACTACTACTAGCGGCGTCCATGCCAATGGGATTTACAAAACGTCCGTGCCAGCATTGCGCAAAAGCCGCGCCTGCCATCTTGACCTTGCGAACGTGCTGCGCCTGCAACGAACTCTACACCTCAGGCGCCAAAGACACAACAAAATCCTGCGCCTGCCACGCAATCTGCACCTCGGCTCGCAAACGTGCTGCGCCTGCCACGCAAAGCTGACTTCGCGCGCCCGGCGTCTCAGAGGGTCATCCGCGCCCACAGCCTGGTCCTCTGCAGGCCCATCCGCGCCCACATATTTGGGGTCGCCCGAGGCCACGGAAGACAAACGCAATACTACCCATCACTACTTTCCCCGACATTTCGATGTTTGCCAGGGTCATCCGCGCCCAGAAATTCGGGTCATCCACGCCCACAATCCCACGGGCAAGGATGACCCAGATTTCGCGGCCCAATGTAAGGGGTACTAACTGCGACTACAAGCTTGTATTTCTCGTCAAGGGCCCCTCTATTAATGCAGCTTTTCGCACATCCAGCTTGTCACCAGAAGCTCTCCGAATCTGCAAATTCCGCACAGATTCCAAAACCTGCAGTCAGAATTGGATTTGCAAGTCAAGAACCTACATGGCCACCCAGCTATGTGTGTGATAACAGTGAAACAGACTCCCTGGAACTTGTGGTTTTCCTCTTGGGTCCTCATCCAGGGTGAAACGCACCGGTCTTTGGGCCCGGGCTTTGAACCGGGCCCTCGCTATCGGAGGCCAGGTACCCGTTGCTCGTCAAGGCGGCGCCTGGCTCCGAGCTCGTTGGGGGATGGCTCTTTGTGAAGCCCGCGCACGCAATAAGAATGCACTACTAAGGCCTTGCATGCACTACTAAGGCCTTGCCGCCAATTCAGGCCTTATTCTGGAACTCAAGATTTGGGGGGCGGAGCTTTGGGGGGGGGGGGGTGCATAGCATCCTGTGATGAAAGGGGATCACCTTGTCCTGGTCACCACCCCTGGCCAAAACTTGGTTACTGTTGACCCCCCTGCAAAAAGTTTAACATTGTTTTTTTTTGGGGGGGGGGGGTTAGTAGAAAACACCTTTATTTCCCAAAAAGTTGAAGTTTAAGGAGCCACCCCAATAGCAGTCAAGAAAAACGGGTCCTCAACCTCTTGGCATTTACCACTGAAATGGTCCAAACCCAAAAAGTTTAAAGTCCAGGAACTCGGGGAGTGAGGCAATGAGTTAAGAGCAGGAAAACCAGGCGGGTTCCCTGCCAGGTGTTGGGTCTCATGTTTGGGGTTCTACCTGTTGCAATCCCAGGGAAGAGTTCAGCGGCTTTCGGGCTGAAGCATGGCCCTTCTGGCTCAAACATAGGAACATCAGGCCCAGCGTCCAGCCCTGTAGTCTATTTTAGTAGGAGAACCCTCCCCCAAAAAAGATGTCAAAGAGCACGACTAAGGGACCTGGTTTCAATGGCTCACCTTCAAGACAGCTGCCCTCTCCAGGCTGAAGGATTGCGAGAATTAGCAATACAACCTAGGCCGATGGCTCTTGCGACCACTGAAGGCACTTTTGTTGCGCATGGGATCTTCTAAGGCTTTTCCAAGGGGCATGTACCGCCCACTGCCTTACCAGCTAACGGTGGCGGCATTGTAGCGCCATACTGAACATTGGATAACCTTTCTGCGGTCATATGAGCCTGTCAGGGAAAACCAGCATGAAAACAGTCCCTCCAAGCAATCATGCCCCAGGTATGCTCTTTTAATCAGCGCCAAAGCAAAGATCGCAGAGTCCAGCAGCCATTGGGAAACGGCAGTTGATTCAGGGCCCCAAAAAGAAACACCAAAATACCCTTCACCTTGTTGAACCCCATTATGAAAGAGCTGGTACTTGGGGTGGTTTCCTTGGACTCACATAGAACCCCAGAAGAACGCCCCGTGCAAAACCTTTCCGAACCTCCGGCCTCCATGGTGCCAGCTCGGTTGCGAAATCTGCTCCCCTGCTGAAAGTCTTAACTTTTGGCGGTTTCGTGGAAAATCCATTCGTTGGCAAACAGCTAAAGTCCTAACAGCCGTTGGCAAAATGCACCAAAGAACGCCCAGAGAGAGGGGGCTCACCCGAGAGGTTTTCCATTGCCTCCGATGATGTTCACCGAGTTGTGCTCCAGCACTGAGACGGTGGACGTCGTGAAGTCGCTCAAGAGGAAGCGCACCAACTTGTAACTGCTGCCTTGGGTGCTAACAACAACTTGGTTGAACTCCCGTGAACGCTCAACCTCTTGCTTTGGGTTCCAACCACCACCAAGCAAACATAACGCGTAATAGCTTGATAGTTTGAACACTTTAAAGGTTGGTGTTGGACAAGTCAGATAGGAGTCTGAAAAGACACATGTCCACCCCCCCGCAAACATATCACGCCCTCTCAAAAAGACCGCAATAGGCAAGCTGTAGTTGTTGCCAACCCTGTAACTTTCAACCTCAGACTTGGACTGGGCTCCTGACATGCCCCCCACCCAACCAAAGGGATTCTAAATAAACAATGGCACAAAAAGTCCAGGGTTGACACCACTCCCTAGTTCCCCGCCCACAGAACCTCTCTTCTTCTGTTCCCGCAACAAGGTTTGAGCCGATAAGAAGTCGGTGGACGGGCCCCTAAAATCCTGGCTGCCTTCATATCCCCCGCGAAAGCTTAACGTTTAGTGGGCTAAATGCAACTAAACACTACAAGGCTAAAAAACTGAGGGGATGGCTGGGAGCCACCAAGCAATTGCAATGCTTGTCGAAAACAAGCCAAGAAAGACTTACTGACAGGCAGCCTTGTTGTATTCATCTTCCTCCATTTGCTTAAGTCCCCTGGACAGAATAATTAAACAAATGAGGCATGAGGAAACCTTGAACATCGCGCCCCATGGTCGGAGCTTGCGTTTCCGCTTGTGCTGGCAAGATGGCTTGCCAGCAGGGGTCTTGAAGACAACATTTTGTCCACTCTGGACATATCTGGTTGCCTCTCATCGATTGAGATTCAGAGCCAAAGTTCACAGAAGTCTTCTTGGTGAACAAAAGCTTCAACTCGCAGGCTTCGATTTTGGCTCCATCCTGCCCAAAGAACCACAACTAACCAACCCTCCCGTCCCCCCGTCCCCCCGTTGCGGAGCTTGCATTTTTTGGCCGCACCTCCAAAGAGGTAGCCGTAGGTGCCGTCTGTGAAGATGCCGGAGAAGCCGCCCAGGGTGGCGTCAACGGTGGCTGGCGTGCGAGGGGCTCCCACCAATTCACATGGAACCGTCATGGAACCTGACAGGGCGGTCCTGGAAAAAAAACACGTAACCCTTTTGAAAAAACGCCCTGTCAATCTGTCAGGTTCCATGTTGATTGGTGGGAGGGTACATCCCCTTTTGTCTTTGCGGGGGGCTGCCCACCACCCAAACATCTTGAAATCGGGGCTTGCGCAGCACATCAATCATGAAATCGGTTGCGTCTTTGGACCGTTTTGGGGCGTTGCTTCAGGTTGCCCACATAAAGCTTTTTTGGGCAAACCCCGACCTTCTTACTGAACGCAGGTTTCCACATTTGAAGGTACACCATGGAACTTGTGATTCACCGTCAGACGGCGCCGTGTTTCTTTAAGGGAGAGGCGCGGGAGGAACCCTGCAAGCTAGAATCTGATGGAGGAAACCCAGGAATATTACCCTTTTAGTGATTCATAGGGGTGCCAAAAAGGAAATGCTCAGTTTTGGGGTTAGCCACCAAATCATCCGGGCTGGTCAGCCAAAGCACAAGCACCTCGCCTCTTGCAGCTGGACGCAAGCATTCATGCACTAACTTTTGAGGGAGAAATCAAATGATCCCCATTTGGACAAAGCAGTTCAGGACCAAAAAAAAAGAAAACTCCTTGCTTTCTGCTTCCCCTGGAGAAGGCCTTGATTTGCGGGCCTAAGTCCTGGAGGCCCAAGAATTCGTGGGACAGGCCGCACGCCGGCAAGCGCGCCCGTGCAGGCGCGCCTAGATCCATCGTAGACACCGAACCCGTAGTCAAGGAAGCCAGCTCAAAGCGCACCACTTCCCTGACGAAGGCCCGTGGCAAAAAAAAGCCTGGCCCTTTCTATCACCAGGTCCTCCAATGGTTAGAATAAGGGTACCCTTGTTTCTGTGGTCTATTTTAGTGGGGGAACCCTCCCCCAAAAAAGGGTAACAGGGCACTACTGGGGGACCTAACTTACCGATACAATAAGCAAGAAGTAAGAAATGGAATGACTCCTGTAAACCAGCCAACTGGTAGTGTCCTTTCAGGAAATCCCTGGGTTCATTCCCTCGTTCCCTACTGAGCACCAGCAAGTCAATCAACCAACCCACACCACCACTTGCGAGCACGTGAGTTGCTTCACTTGAAGTTGCGGTAGCCCTATAGAGCCTAGTTCAGAAATGAAACTCGCTGAATAGCATGGAATAACTAGCGCTGCCTAGCCTTTTTCCCTGCTTGGTTCCCTCACACAGCTCCAACAAGGCATTTAAAACCTAGCTGCTTGGTTGGGGCTTCCAATATCTCCCCTCTATACGTGAGCCTACAGGAAACGCAGCTTAAATTTGCCCGACAATGATATTTCAACCATGGAGAGAGGGAATGAAGAGGGACCATCTTTTGGTCCTCCCGACTCTTGACAAGCTAGCAATAGCGGAATCTCAAGAACCCTGTTGCCCACGACTTTCGTGCAGCGCAACGAACAGGTGCTGGGGAAACCAAAATTTTGTGGCCCCTCTCACATTCTGATTGAAGAGCTGCAAGGGGTGCCATAGCAACCTACTAGTGGCCATTAGTACTTGGTAGGAGCTTATCATTAGGACCATCAAGGGCCATGACCTTCCGGCGGTTTCCCTTTGAAGTTCTTTTCAGTACCTCACCCGTGTGGGCTTCCTTTAGACCGACCGTAACTCATCAACTGAGCCATGTCCAAAACGTGTCCTGCTTCGATGTGTCGCATCATACTCCGCACGCGGTTGCTTGCGGGACACATAGGCTTCAAGTAGGCCTTGCGCAGCGCGGAACCAGTCCGCGTAGAATACCAACTCCCAATACTAGAAACGCGGCTTATGCGACATCGTTCTTTTTTGGGGGGCTGCTTTGGGGTATTCTTCGGGGTGTGGTTCGCAGGGGCCGAACTTCCAGCCTCCAACCATTTCAAATCATGTGATGTGCAAAGAAAAACAACGCGCACATATTTGCTTGTGCCCCGCTTAACTTAATGAATCAAAATGAAGGGGCCCAGGAGCTATAATTTTGTTTGCCCTCTTGCCATTGCTTCCCGGAGGCCGCACGAATGGCAGTTTGACTGTGTTCCAACAGGAAATTGGGCGCTTCTCAGTTTAGGTGGCACCATCAAGACTAAGAAGCAAACGCAGGCTGAAACGGAAAAGCCCCTGACCGAATCTTTGATTGCGGACATGGAGATATGATGTGCTCAACAACTCTGTTTCCCAGGGTCGGAGGCCCCAAGTGTGTGCACTCATGGGCGAGGTCCTTGCGGCACACCAAACTGTGACTTACCCCTTAAAACTCCAAGCCCTGGGGAAGTTAATCTTTTACAGACATATAGCCCATGTTACCCAAAAAGTTGAAAAGTTGTGTTTTTAAGAGGTAAGGTGAGGTAGCGTGCGCCATGCCTAGCGGCCTACGATTGCGAAGCGTCTTCCCGTCAGCTGAACGGTGGCCGAGGGGCGTGAGACTGTAGGCCATGTCATTCTGGTAAGGCGCCAGGAAGCCGTAAATGCCTCGTGACTGCAGTTCCTTCCGCCTCCAGCCTCAACCTTTAAAGCCCCAAACACCTTAGATTCCTGAAATTTGGACTGGGGTGCATGTCCAACTGGTGCAGCCAGCGGCGTCAGGGACTGCGAGACGATTTTCCGCTGGCAAGTGCCAGGGATGCAACAATGCTCTTGACCGAGAGCGCAACCGCATAAGCAACGGCCACCCCCCGTCCATTCTCCCTTGTCTTGCTTTTCCTCGCAGCCCTACATAGCTGCCCCCGGACCCGCAGCTTAGCTGGGCGAAGACCCTGGCTTTCAGGCTTTCAGGTGCCGTGTGAAATTCCAAGATCACAGCCTCAGCCTTTTTCTTTTTCAAAGGGTGGTTTACCTAAGCCCTTTCCAGCCAAGTGCCGAAGATTCTTTTTCTAAGTGGTCCCCAGATAGAAGCTTTGATTGAGTTCAAAGGGAGAGCCCCACACAAGCCCCTGACCCTCGTTAATCTAATTGTTCTGAGGGCCGCTTTATGCCAGGCTTTTGATTGAGCGGGAGTGCCATTCCAAATCTTAACCTTTCAATACCGGGCCGTTCACTGTAAAAGGGGTGGTATACTTCAGCCATTCAAGCAAAAGGCCGAGGATCTAAGAATGCCTGTTTCTTTTAACTAAGCCTTCCCCAAACCAACGAGCAAGCAACCAAGGCCAAACACTCACGCACAATTTCCACCACAATAGTCCCTCATCCTCTTTCATCTGACGGTTCTGAAGGTCGCTTCAATGTCTTTTTTGTTGGGCGGGAGTGCAATTTGAAGAGCGAAATCTTAATATTGTACTTTTTGTGTGCGCCTGAGATCTGGGAACATCAGAGGTCCGATAGGAGGAATCTGCGATCAGATGCTAAGTTTAGAAAGGGCAATGCAGAATTGAGCTCTGTATGGAAAAAGACATGGCAATAATTTTACACCTCCTTTGTGAATAGTACCCTGTGGCCTTTTTTCGCAATTCAGGATCTTGTGACTGTTTGGGGTCCTCAATTATGGCAATTTGGTTGCAGAAACAATGCCGGCAAAAACATCTGGACAAAAACAACCGGCCAAAGAAAGTCGGACAAAAAACAGGCAAGCAAATCCGGGCAAACATTAGGAATTCCGTTTTTGGAAGTGGTCCTCAAGCCGGCAAAATTAAATTAAGATGACTTCTTTCCAAAAAAGCAAGGGCCAACATTCGCACAAAAGGGGTGGCCCACAAGAGGCCCTGAGCCTCTTTTATGTGACTGTTTTGGGGCCCCTCTTTAGTGTCCAACCTTTTTGGGAGTTTCTGAAAGACGGGCCCTGGCAATACTAAAGTAGAATTGGCAATACTAAAGTATAAAGTAGAAGTTGCAATACTAAACTCAGTTCTGGGAATCTGCGAGAGTTCTGGGAATCTGCGAGTCAGCCTTGGCAATACTAAAGTAGAATTGGCAATGCTCAGGTAAGCAGTGTCCAACATTACAATCCAATTTTTACAAACAATCTTTGATTCCCCTTCATCCCAGTGAAGAGGCTTGGGAAGGGGAGGACTCCCGAGCACAAAGAACAGCGACAGAACCCGCCGCGGGGCCGTGCTGGATGCCGCCCTTGAACTGCTGCAGCGAGTACGACACATCCTTGAGGGCCAGCGTTGTCACGTTCGCCGCAGCGAAGCCGGTGAGCTCCACGGCCGCCAGCACGCCTTACGTCACCCCTTTGCACTCCACCCATCGGCTTCGAACCTGGTTGCTTTGACCAGCTCCAGGGAAAGGAAAGGCCTCTTGAAATGTAAGCCTGCGAAGCAAGTGATGGTCGCGTGTAGCTGGGCAACGAGCATCAGGTCCCCGGCGGCCACAAAACGCAAAAACACACACACACACAAAACAAAAAACAAAAACATAAACCGCGAACCGCCTGGAGTGAGCAGATTGCGCGCTTGGCAAGCCCCCCCTTCCTGGGTGTTGCCCGTGGGGAGGTCCCCTGCCCGAATGGCATGTGAGAATGTTCCAAGGTGTCCGAGCAAAAAGCTGGGTGCATCCTTGGGCCTGTGCACAGAGAGTGCTTTGGCTAGTTTCTGGGCGGTTTTGAATATGCAATGTGGGCGCGAACGCACCTTGGGCCTTGATGCTGACATCTGACGGCTTGTTTTGCAAACTTCACGAGCCGAGGGCTGCAACTAAATTCTTAGTGCACTGCGTATCACGGCGTGAACCGAAGGGATTGCGACTTGAACGAAGGGAACCACACGCGCTGCAGTGTCGAAACAGCCGGACCCTTGACAAACGCGCCTGCCGGTTTCCGAAAACGACGGATGGCCCAATGATATCCGTCTTGCTTGTTCCAGTATCAAGCCTTTCCAAACACGCGCCCAACAATTGCAGAAAGAGCCTTTGGGTGTGAAAGGCAAAAAGAACAACAACAACACACGTGCACCCAAGCAAAACACAATCCGCTAGCGCTGTCCCTGCGGGCGTGCGAAGGTTCATTGACACAAGCCAATCACTTCTGTAAACTCCTACGTGCGTCCCTCCTTCACATTTGTTTTGCTAGAGCTCAAGTTCCTATTGCTTCAATCGTTAGCACAATTCTCCCTCCCCTCTCCCTCTTTTCTCCCTATCCCCCCCCTCCCCCCACTCCCCGCCCTCCCCGCTCCACATTCATGAAGAGCCTTGGTGGCTTGCATGGCTTCAATCAACTTTGTTCGACGCGGCGAGAGCTCTCCGATGCCGAACATGCTTCCCTGTAAGATGCCCGGGCGGATTCAGCCTCAATGAACACCCTGACTGGCAAGAAAAGATGCCCTCAAGTTTGGCCATCGAGGGCAAAGCCCTCGCTACATTTTGGAAGTTGAGAGATTCAGATGGAGTGAAAGCCGGCACTGCTTCTTCACAAGTCCTCTTGTTACGTTTCCCCCGCCCTGGACGCTTGTGAAACAAAGCAGGCATCCGGGCAAAATGTCCCAAAAAAACCAGGACATAGCAAGTCTAAACAAACAACAAAGCATAGCATATCGCAAAACAGTCCAGCCCGGACAGAATCAGAATGGAGCCTCCTGCCATGTTTCACAGGTCTACACAACGCATGCGTGGACCAGATTCTAGCAGGAAAACGGGACTGGCAGGGCCCACTTTTGCCCTCCCCTAAACTGCAAAGCCAATAGACACAATTCATGAAGTAGCTCAACCAGCAGATTCATTTTTCAAGGCCCCCCTCCACTCCTACTTGCGACATTTATCCCACTCATGCGAAAATTGAGGAGCGCGAACACCACTGCCTTGATCGCCGACTTTGCCGAGCGTCCGTACTGGTTGGGCACCAAATAGCCGATGTAGTTATGCCTAAAAGCGCCCAACATGGACTTGCATTCAAATTGCTATGTACAGAGCGGCTGCGAATCCCAAAATAATAGTTGGCCTTAAGAGGGCTCGTGTAGCTAAAACCTGTCTTGGTGGGTTGACGCTTAAAGATGTTGCCAAACTTGAAATTGTGGGTGTGGTCGGCCTTGGGTTGCCTTTGGGTTGTTGTTGGCAAAGTATAGGCAGCAAACCATGGCTCAGGGTGGAAATGACCCAGGCGAGCCAATCGCAAAACATTAGGACCCCAGCAAGTGGACAACAAAGGGGACCCCCGATTTTCCCCCCCCCAGTGCCCGATCAAACTTACCAGTTTCGTCCTGAAGCAAGCGTCGGACATCAGCGAGTGACTCAGTACCTTTCGGTCTTGACATCTGCGTGGTGAAAAGAAATGAACAGATTGCTGCACCCCACGGTTTCCAAAAACCTTGGGGGCCTTTGGTGATTTCCATACCTGAGCTGCAGCCAAGAACATTGGTGATCTACAAAACCAATGCATTGAATCCCAAACTTTAAACAGTTCTCTTGGGAAACCAACTTTCTCGGCGAGCAAAGGTGAGTTTTGCAACCCACTTCGCAGCTGCAAGGCGTCCGGCAACTCCAGTTGCAAAATTCGGTGCCCTTCACTCGGTGCAGCTTCGGCGAACGTAGAGAAGAGATCAGTTTGACGCATCGCTACCGGACAAATCTCCTGCACCAAATGGAAAATTTGTTCATCTCTACTCTTGGTATGATAGCAAAAAAGTTCTGTTGTTTGCAGACCCCCCAGTAAAAATGAACAGAACCAACAAACCAAAAAACCAAAAAAACAAAAAAACAAAAAACCAAAAAACCAAAAAAACAAAAAACCAAAAACCATGCCAAGAACAGCCAAGTGTTACCAACTCAGAAAAACATCAAAGGACCCCTCACCAGGCGCGGGTTTCCCCTGCCAACGGATGGCCGCACCGGCCGCGAGAATTCGCAGCCGAATTGAGCCATGATGAGACAATGCTTGGCGGCTGATGAGAAACAGATTTCGAAACAGAAACCACCAGGGGAGATTCCAGGAGTGATGGATTCCATTTCGAAACCAGGGGAGAACATGGGGAGAGCAACCCGAATTCTTCGGCAAATGGAAGCGCGCGTCAACGGAGCAAGCCCTATCAAGGAGCTTTTCCGTGAGCTTTGCCGGAGGTCCATTTCCGGATGCACTGAACCGAGTGGCGCAAAGCCCCCGTGGAAGCCGTACAAGTCGGCGTGCACTCCCATGAGATCCAAGCCCTCCCTCGGCGGATGGGCAAGATCCCCATGATAGAAGCCAGCCACAGGAATCTCAAAACCAGAAGCGAAATCGGATTTCAGATTTGGAGAATCCCGAAGCTGGGGTTGAGTAAAGATGAACATGACAATCACCTCTGCGATTCGAAGGCAAACCACCATTAACACAATGGAGGCTCACACCATTGTTTGCTTAAGGATTGTCATTATCCAAATTGGGTCCCAATGCCATTCTTTAATGGGGGCAAGGACCCCTAGGGTAACATAATCAAACAAATAAGGCAAAGCCCAGACCAGGAACTCAGCTTCCCTCTAATTGGTGGTTTGGATTGGTGGTTTGAGCGGGTTTCCCATTTGCCCACAAGAGCCACGGGCTCAAATCCGAATCCAAAGCCCCACCCAAACGACGGGCTGCCAGAAACAAATGACAAGTGCGTAGGTGCTCACTGACCAACCGTGAGAAGGGCCGGCTGAAAGCTCACACCCACGGAAACATGTGCCCTGGCAAGATGTAACAGCACAAGCCAGGAGCAAGGCAGGCGAAACCAGGCGAGCTCGGACAGCCCAAAGCACAAACCAAACTGCTCCCGCAAGGGATGTGCAACATGCACCCGAGTGGCCCCTTTTTGTACCCACCATCTTGCGCCCCCATGTTCGATTTGAGGCTGGCTTTTGGGCAAACACACAGGCAAACACACAGATACAACACGGCACTGAATATGACCATTTACACGGAAGATTCAGAACTTGTATGGCCGCGCCGGGACCACAGTTTTCGCAGCATGCATCCGATGCATGTGTGGCAATGATTGTGAAAGAATGCCATACGTACCTATGTCGAATGTAAAGCATGCCTCTCTTGAATGTACAGCATGTCTTTCTTCAAGCAAGAAAACACTGTCTCACCGGATCGAGCACCCCCCCCACCCCAAACAAATAATCAATCAACACAGTCCGATCTTGGTGTTGGCGCGCCCCTGCTTTACCTTTCCTTGTGCGTTGGTTTAAGGAACCAAGCAGTGCACCAAACGACAAGCATCGGAACAGGGTGCGCACACCCCCAAGGGGGATATATACCAGCTCTTTCACGCAGGGCATGCATTTTTGCGATGAAGAAATTAGTTGCGGATCCTCCCAGTCCATCATATTTTGCCAGCCGAAACAACAGGCTCAGTGCAAATTGCCTGGCAAGGGATGCGCCAAACCAACAACGGGATACATCGCCGTGGGATCCGCCCTTATCAAGGCCAAGTGTGGAGGAAACCAAATCGAGAGGCAGGGCTATGATCGGGACGCAATACTAGATGACGCCCCAGCTGCCCCAACTGCTCAATCAAGCCCTTTTTCAACTACAGTTAATTGAACACTGGCGCAATTCCCTCATCTTGGTCCAGTGAACAAGTTCACCTAGACACATACAGAGAATTACCCCATCTACTCTCACCTAGTATGCCGTTTGGCATCTTTTAGATGGAAATGCATGGCCTTCCACTCCCCAACAAAAGTTAAACACTTAATCCCCCGTACCTTCAGAGGGAGGGTGGGTGCACCAGTTCCATTTATCCAGTCCCAAGACAAGGGGACCTCCAGCGCCTCCCCAATTCTCAATTCCAATCGATTGGCCAAAAAGCATCCTGTTAATCTGCTCATGTCCCACTTAAATGGGCAAACACCCCCCAAAAAGTGAATAAACTCCTCGTGGTTGGTGGGGTGGAGCTGGCATACCATGGCCTTTTGATTTTCCACTTTGAGAAAGGGGCCGCTCAGAGGACAAACCGATTCAGCAAAGGTCAGGGGACGGCACAAAAGTGACAGCCCAGGAACTGGAAGTGAGCCTTGATTCCTTTTTTTAAGGGGGCCCGGCGGAGAAAAAGAAGAAGAACTGCTCCCAAAAGTGGTAGGCTCTCTTTACAACCGAAGCCTCTTCCCAACAAAAAGACGGTAGAAAGGGCGCTTGCTGGGACACCGATTGTTGGAATGGCCGGAACGGAAGCCAATGACTTTGATTTGGTTGACGTTGGGTTTGGGGAGCACTTTTTTTTAGCAGTCAAGTGGTTGGATTTCAACCACTAAACCACAATAAGCAAAGATGTCAAATGTTTCCCAACAACAACCAACTTCAGCAAATGGACGACTGGTTGGCATGCTTGGTATCAAATACTCACCACCAACCACAAACCAACCTAAAGCCACCACCCCCCCCCCCCCCCCAAAAAAAAAGGGGAACACCAGTGTCTGGGAAAATATATTTCTCAAACGCATGTTCATTTTGTTGTCGACGCAATGTTTTGCTCCATAACCCAATTAAGGGTTACCTGAGTTGTTTTAAGGGGCCCCGTGAAAATACAGTGGATGGTTGCGAAATCCATTTCGCACTTTGAAACCATGGTTGACACCATAACGTTTGTTGGCATTTACCAGGGAATCATCCGAAACCATGCTTTCTTAGGTGGTGCAGGATTTCCTCCATCCACAGGATGAGTCTGAATAGGGGCGCCGGACCCATTTTGGGCTGGTTTTCCTGGGACGCCGACAGGAAACCAACCGCCCAAAGGACCCAATTTCGAGAACCCCTATGGGGAAGGGGATTCGGTCCATCCACAGTATGACGATGGAACCCCCGAAAAACCTTCTCTCCAAGACTCGGCTGGCTGAAGGTCTCCAGGTCGAAGCGCACGAAGACCTGCGAGCTGCCGGGGGTCAAACCGCCTGCCGGCCCCTCCGTGTACGAACCTGTGGCTTCCATTTGGGGAAAAGGCCCCAGGAAAAAATGAAAAATATGTCCAGTAGTGGTGAATTCCTTTTACAACCAACAAGGGAACATAACAAAAACATATTCTTAAGCAAATAGAGGGTGGGTGAAACGGAAAACAAACCGCTTTCAAAAGTGAATAACATTCTATGTGGGCTAAATGGAAATCGGAGCACTAAACACTAAGAAGCTAAAAGAACCCAACAAACCGGATGGCTGGGAACCAGCAAGATAAGCAGGGGGGTTTATACAACCTGAAGCGGAAGCGGGGACGTTACGGTCATGTGCCGCTCAGCAAACACCGTGCGCTGCAACTGCCGCTTTCTTGCCTTGGTTGGGTAGGTCCAACCGTTGTATTTTTTTCTCGCAGATGTCCAGTGGGGGTATGCACAAAATATTCGTGAAGGAAACAAGTTCACTTCCAGACATCTACGTGGATATGTTTCCATATGCAGCATGGTCAAAACTTAGGTCATGACAAGTGGTCTGGACGAACACAGGGCTGACATGCATGGCACCAACTTCTGGCTCGTCTCTTTTGGCTGCAAAATGCCCAGGGCCCCCATCCTCAAGACATGGACCCGTCCCGTGGCCTGGTTACGAAATCCGCTTCTCGCACCACGAGATGCAACCCTGGTTTGACACCACAATGTTTCCCGGTATTTGCAGGGGAAGTCTCGGAAATTAGTGCTTTTCAACAGTGGTGCAGGATTTTGTCAATGCGCAGTATGTAACTCTGGTATTTCGTTGACCCTCTAGAAAGCCACCAAAGGGGGGTTCCCAATAGGAATTCCCAAAGTGGATATGGGGCTTCTTCCCTGGCGCTGGCCTTTCCCGGACCTCAGTTGGAAAAAAAAACTGGAGCAGCCGGTTTGCAGCCCGTGCGCGTTTTTTCGTCGCCTGGCACAAAATGGATATGTCCTTCGGTAGTTTTTTCAGGACCCTTTGCATCATCTTGGACTGGCAATTTTGATCGCCTCCCCCCCCCCCCCTACTGTGGCAAAAACACGTGCACCACTTGGGACTGAAGCTCTGCAACATGGGAGAATCCAGACATTTTGCCCACAGTATGAGTCCACCAGTGCTCCAAACGGCTTAGCGCCACCAACCATGAGCCCATACCCTACTATCGCCATACGCCCGAGGCGCGGAACCAGTGGAAGGAACCAGATAGCCGTAGGTGCCGTCGTGGAATCCTCCCTGGAAATATGTGCCGCTGCTGGCGGCGCCTTGGTGCTGCGTCAGTTCTTGCGCCTGGGGGGTGTTTAATGCTGACCCAGGATCTAAGTAGAACCCGTCCCATTCTTAGGGGGGTGTTCCCTCCAAAAGTGGACCCACACCCCGCTATTAATCAACCAGGGGATGCTTAATCCGGGGTTAACATTAGTGAGTTCACCCTGATACTCACCTTTCGAGTGGATGGCCGCAACAAAGTCCAAACTTTTTGCATGTACCGCCAGCATGATCTGCCGGAAAATCTAATGACCAAGAACCCAGGGAGTGAGGATGGAAAAAGGGAACTGTTTCTTTCCGGATAGATTATTTTTGATGGGAACCCCACGCAAGAAGGGGCCAACGGCCTTTTGTTCATTGCCGAATTCACTTCCTTCTTGCTGGAACTTCCCCAAGTAGTCGAACGTGACACGGCTTGGTGGGATCCCAATCACAACTTTGCCACTTGAAAGCTTGAAAGGGGGTCTCCAAATCCTCCGGGACAAAATCAAAGTTGAATAAACATTATCCGCCGTGAAGCTGGCTGCTTCGACCAATTGAAAGAAATCTCCAAGCTCCCCAGCAGTGTCCATTTTGAAACATGGGTTGGCATAAATGGGTCGGGTCACCCTCTCCCACAACACCCACTTTTTAGGGACTGGGGGATAAAGAAGGCAGATATGCTACCAGAGTCGTCAGGAACTTTAGGCCTTCGAATCGACCTATGACTTCGGAATGGATGGCTTTCTCGAGGCTTTGCAAGCGAGACATGGCCACGTGCTCACATACAAAGCCCTGACACAGACTGCGAAACACCTCATCTCTCAATCTGTGAAGTCATTCGCCACTGAGGCCAAACAGGGATATTGCTCTCGCGGGAAGAAACAAAACACTTAAGAGGGATCTCCGAAGCATCAGAACGTGATCTCTCTCTCTCTCCCTCTCTTTCGCAATGCCGGGTGACCCACAACCCCCCCCCCCCCCCCCAAGAAAACCTTCCCCACTCCCCCCCCCAAAAAAAACACAC